CGCTTGCGCGGCTGCATTCTGGACCAGCTGGAGTCTCCGAACACTCTTCAAGGGCTGCCCCATGTAGAGAAGACCTCACCTATTCTACTGCTTACTGTAAATGTTCTGTGGATATTTTCTCCAAAATACGTTTATTCATTTATAATGAGATTTAGAAGCCACCAACAGTTTTTATCTAATAAGAACAAGAATAAAAACAAGGAAAAATAGCAAAAAAAAAACAACTTGTGCATTCAGACAAACCTATTCTTTCCAACAAAAACATCACCCACAGGGCATCACAAACACCTTACCTCAAGATCTGGGATCAGCCAGGTTTTAAGGGAATCTGAAAAAAATAATGGAGCAGGAAGAAGACAGATCTCTCAGAAGTACCAAACTGCAGAGCAGGAACCACAATATATAGATGGCATTATTTGATTGAAGGGATCCAAAATTCATCAATTCTTCCCAGTTTTACTGGATGGACAGAAACCATGGGAGATAGGACACCCCACTATATAACTAAGGACTTTATACGAGATAAGTAGCATTTTACTATCCTTCTTGCTATATCATCTAGCCATAAAACTTATTTTTTAAAATAATAAAGCTTGATTGTTAAAATGTTATACCCAAATAAAGCAAACCACATTACAGCTAAATGCTGTATAAATGGAATGGAATGGACAATAAGAAAGTTCTTCAAGTAAAGAAGAATAATTAGGAAGATGCATATAATCTACAAATGTATACATCCATGATGATGAACCTATGGCACATGTGCACAAGTGGCATGCAGTGCCCTCTCTATGGGAACACGAGCTGTGGCCCCAGTTCAGTTCCGCCATGCATGCGCACGTGCCTCCCGCCAGCCAGTGGGCCTCTGCCACGCATGTGCAGGGGAAGGGCATCTCCGGGGAAATGCATGCATACGGGAGGCGCAGGGGCAGCACCGCACATTGATTTTGAGGGTTTAGGGGTCTATGTTAAAGTGACCAGATGTCCCGCTTTTGGCGGGACAGTCCCGATTTTTCACAATTTGTCCTGCGTCCAGCAGCGTTTTTAAAAAGTCCCGATTTTTGGAAAGAATGCACAACAAGTAGTATCTCAGTTTCACTCCAAAGATTTTGAGAAATCCACAGGTGACTTCTCACTATGCTAGCTGAAAGTTTCCATTAGAGGCCGCCTGAGCTGCTCCCTCCCATTGGCTGGTTCTCGGGACCATGCCCCTCCCTTTTTGCATCCCTATTGGCTGGTGGACCTCTCTGGCTCTTTTCCCACCCACCCCCGCCCCCACGAAGCATCCCCCACCGTTTGCTTAATTGCCGCCGTATAGTCCTGGAAGGGATGTGGTGAATTCTCCTACGTGGAATTGGGTTCCTGCGCTTCCAAATGGAATTCATTCTCACCTTTCCCTCTTCAGAGAGTTAACAAAGGGCAAGAGCCCCTCGGATGGGTAGACGGGAGAACTTCTAAGCGCTTGCTGCGGGTGAGTGGGCGAAAGGGCGT